AGTAAATAGGCATAGCTGCTATTCAGGCACAGCTAGTATATAGTATTGTTTTGAATTTTTTTTTCAATATTAGCTAGATGTGTTTGTGTAGGCAAGCTAGCATTTAACTTGCTACATATGTACGTAAGAGATGTTATTTCTTTTACGATGTATACCATGTTATATACAATATCAAATAAAGAAATAATGCTTACCTATGAAGGGAAATACAAAAAAAAAAATTAAATTAAATAGAAAAACTTAACAGGTACAAATATTCTTAATATTTGGCAAATCAAATAATAACTAATTATTTATAGAATCAAAAAACAAAATAAAAAACATTTTACTGTACTTACTAATGCTAAGTCAACTAAACCATATTAATAACCATATTACCTATTTACAGATTGATATATCATATATGATTGTTATTGTTTTAGGATAATAATTTGTAAAGAAAATTCAACAAGTATTATAAAATAAAAACTTAATACAATTAAAAAAACAATTGCTTATTTATATTCTTATATAAGTACAGTAGTGATGAAAAAAACTGGCAGTAATAGTAATATATTTAAAATGCTAGTTGTATTATTACTTAATTAAATAATACAAATTAATTTTATTTACTTTTTTTTTTATTATACAGATTATCATGTATAAAAATTATGACTGTGACAGTCTCTTATTAATTTGTACAATAACATCATGTCACATAAACTTTGCCTTAAAGAATGTTATTCACTAGTTAAGTCTAAGGCTCCTAACGATATTACTTCAATACCACTTCAATACTTAAATTTACTATAAAAACATATGAGTATATTACAACCCATATATTAAATTTACTATAGATCAGTACCATTTCAATACCAGTTCGATACTTTTTCAGAACTCTAGTTAAGTCGTTATGGAAAAAAAAAATATGAAATACTAAAAAATTGCATCAAATTATTGGGTTTCCCATATGAATGTTTTTTAGATAGGTCTCTCAACTAAATAAAACAAAAGATTTATAACAAAAAAATCTTTTAGGCCATCCTAAAATCTTTAGCCCAAACCAACAACATCACCTCAGTCAGCTCACTTGTTTGCATACCAATGTAACAAGTTTAAAAATAACAGACACTCTTAATAATACCTACCCAGATCTTAACATAGTGTTACTAAAATTTTTGAAAATTTTATTAACTTTGGATAAATACAACTATATATTATCAACATTTATTAATAT